AAACTTTATTGGCGACATGTGAGATTTCAGATTTCCAATTTAAATTTTCATCCATGATTACTCCCAAGAAAACTGTTTCTTTTACTTGATCAATTTTTTGATTATTAATTAAAAGTTGAATAGTTTGATTTGTACGCTTTTGAGATGGTTTAAATACAATGAATTTGGTTTTTTTCAAGTTTAATGAAAGCCTGTTAGCTCTAAACCATATTGACAACTTATTTAGCTCAGCGTTCAGTATATTAGTAAGGCAGTCTTTATCCTTGTGAGACACAAATACGTTTGTATCATCAACAGTATCATCAGCAGTTGATCTTTAAAAACAGAAAAAAAGAAAAAGAAAAACAGTATCCAAATCGTGTATACCAGATTGAAACCTTTTTCAGCGAAGAAAATTGACTTATTTTTGTCGAGTTTAAAGGAAAAGACGCCTGAGAAGCTGCAATCTTTCCAGCAACGGTACAGGTAAACACAGGCAACCAGTCCCTAGCAACGGTTGCTACCGAAAAGCCTCGCTTTGGTGAAATCGTCGCCACATTTGCAACCGGTCTATTCATCGAATCTCTCTGTGTATATCTCTACACAGCCAGATTTTAAATCAATCATTGATCAGTTAATAAGTTTTGAAACTTCTAAAATTCGCGTCAACCATAACGTAACATTAAGATGCAGTGTAATCTAGATAGTAATCTAATCGATTTTGACACAGAACCGCAGTTACGGTGAACAAAGATGGATTATAACATAGCTAGAAAATTCGCCTAATCAAATTCAATAGCGCGAGCGTGCTTCATATTCCTCTTGAGCACGCTGATGACGTCAATAAACTATTCGTATTTCCTCGAGTTGTTGTGAACTTAGCAATCCTGAGTCTCCTGAGTGCATCCATAACTCAGCAGTACACGAGGGAGCGCTTACTATGTGTTTTATAAGGAAATTTAAGAGAAAACGTTCGAATTTGAGCTAATTTGTTAACCGATAGTAAGGAAAAGAGGTGAGTGTTGTTGTTGTTGTTGTCATCTCCGCGAGCTGTGCGGGCTATGGCGTGTGCAAATCATTCTTTGAAAAGTTGTTTTCTCTCAGAAATAATTTTTCGATGAATTAATAGTTTTGCGGCACTTAAATATGGATTTTACAATCATTTTAGAGTACACTTTCTCTCAGCTTCAGGATAAAAACATAAGCGAAACTGTAAGGAAAAAGAATACAGTCGTGTAAACATTGACGTGTACTGCTTTGAGCGCGCCCTACAATAATAAAATTTTAAGTTAACTGCTGCATTGATCGCTTTGATAATGTTATAAAACAATTAGTTCATGCTGCAGCTGTGGGTATGTCGAGATATTGAGCACTTGGGAAGTTTGGAGAGCACTCAAGAGGCTAGAGTTGCACGAGGCGCACTCTTACGCCTCTTTCGTGCTCTGCAAACTTCCCGCGTGCTCAATATCTCGACATACGCACGCTGACTCATGAACTAAATGTTAGGTAAGCCCTGAACAAAATTATATAAATAAACGCTAACCTCTCGTGTTGCATGAAGAACCAAACGCTCAAGAAATTCCTCCACATCGTTATCTTACGTTTATAATTCATGCTGGATGAATAAAATTTGCTCGACTTAGCACGCGTCCGGGGACTTTCCGCGGAATAGAGTCACGTGGTAAAACCACGTGCTAACGAACAAAGCATCTATGTATTTTAAAATTATGGCGGACGGCTGTTGATGGTTGCAACTTGCGTTGCATTGCTCTTTTTAATACTGCGTAAAGAAAGTATTTGTCAACTCTGTGGACTGTCCAGACGGGCAGATTTTGTTTTAATCACGAAACAAAATGTCTCCGAATTGTCAGCGACTGGCTTTTACTTTTAAAGGAACGGATCTAAGTTCAACTGGTGGACACACGTGTTTGAGTCTTCGCGATGCCAATAAATGTGAGTACCATTGTTCCGTACTTTAGAATAATCTGTTATTGGAACATCTAGGCATACGCATTATGAAAATGACAGTTGGATAGATGGCCTTTCGAAGAGCGCTGTCAATTAATTTATTACCTAGAGCCATTTTGGATTTTGTTTACATGTGTTTGCTTACCGATCGTTTTGATATAAAGTAATTTCGATACACCAGGCGATACATCTCGTTCAGATACAAATTGATTCAGTCGAGGTGTACAACCAATATTTCGCGACATTTGTTTTTCTTGAATTGTTCACGTGCAATAACTATACATCAGGTAATCGCAATATTTTTGCAGTTTCATTGCTTAAGTTCGTATCGAAATGACTCTTTTCCTTTACAGTTAATTGATCAGATTATATTCTTGCTCTCACGCCAAATGTGTCACGTTAATTAAACTTTGCGTCCGTCCTCTTTCGCTCACACATAGCAATATCAACCACAAAACCAATAGTGAATGCTTTGGCTCAGGACTTGCAAGCTTCATGATGATTTTAGTGGAATCAAATTTTATTGTGTTAGGTCTTGCGAGAATGAATGCATGTATAGTTGGCAAGTAAAATTCAAAAATGAAATTATATATTATAGACATTAAACTTATTATATTGACTCAGTTAAGCCTAAAATGGTTATTTTTCTGCTTGGGAATTCCTAAAAAGTTTCAGGAACATGATATTTTGACATTTAGTTTGTTACATGTAAACAATCAGGACTTTAACACTGCTTACATGTACAGCTGTTTCAATAAGGCTATGCTTTGGGCATTGGGAATTGAGCAATAGTAAGCTATTGTTTGGTGGTCACTCAGGGAAATCATTGCATTGTTTGGTATNTCACGTTAATTAAACTTTGCGTCCGTCCTCTTTCGCTCACACATAGCAATATCAACCACAAAACCAATAGTGAATGCTTTGGCTCAGGACTTGCAAGCTTCATGATGATTTTAGTGGAATCAAATTTTATTGTGTTAGGTCTTGCGAGAATGAATGCATGTATAGTTGGCAAGTAAAATTCAAAAATGAAATTATATATTATAGACATTAAACTTATTATATTGACTCAGTTAAGCCTAAAATGGTTATTTTTCTGCTTGGGAATTCCTAAAAAGTTTCAGGAACATGATATTTTGACATTTAGTTTGTTACATGTAAACAATCAGGACTTTAACACTGCTTACATGTACAGCTGTTTCAATAAGGCTATGCTTTGGGCATTGGGAATTGAGCAATAGTAAGCTATTGTTTGGTGGTCACTCAGGGAAATCATTGCATTGTTTGGTATGCCCAAATGCCCAATAGCCAACCTTTACTTAATCAGCTATATACAGTGTAGCTTCTGGAGAAGCGACAACCACATAAACGACATCCAGTATTTTCATTTATTACATTTTAAAATAAAATCTTCTAATAATCTCTCAGTCTTGTCCATAAAAAAAATATGCAGTGACTTTGTTAACTTCTGCATCCTGTATCCCTGATGTATACAAATCCCCAAAGATGCAAAATAATAATATTCATGGCATGCATTCCAATGGATGCAAAGATCCACAAAAAATCTGAACATGTGTATTTATAGAAATATCCCATTTGTGTATTCTGTGGCAGTTATTATGGCTGTCGTTGAAGGATGGATATTTCCTTTAGCCTTTAGAAGGACGGTATTTTAATTTCAGTGTAAACAACAGTTTATTTTCTACTACTGTAGACAACTAGAAGAATTTACAAGAAAATAATCATAAATAAATAAATAAACAGTACATACAGTGGGACACCCAAAATAACTAAAAAGCTAAACTAGCTAGTTTGATCACAGTTACTTTTTATCTTTATTTTGGAAAGGCCAATAACATTGAATGAATGCTGTAGATCTGATAGCAGCATTGTCAAACCATCATGGTTAGCAGAAAGGCTTCTTATGTTGAAATGAATTGTAGAAAAGAAATGCATAGATTTGCTCTGAGAAGGCATAGATTTGCCCTGATTTGCTCTTTGTACTGCAGTAATACAGAGTTTTGGAGTCTGTCAAGCTAATAAGTCAGATAAACTGTCTGGTTACATAAAGGCCCAAGCATTTTCAAATACAGACTTGTATATTTTTTTTATCTGGGATTCCATGTTTTTGGACTGGGACTCAATATTTTTCACAAGATGAGTACCAGGACTCACCATAACTATTTGTAACCAAAGTCACTGAATATATATTCATGTCTCCAACTTAATTTTCCATTGAAAAGCAATACCACCCAAGCATTTTGTTGCACCATTCTTGTACTTAACTCTTTGAAAATAGACAAGTAATGTCCTTTTCTGACAATCCCAAAGAACTGTTGTTTATTTAAGCTATGCAGATATCCCTGCCAGTTTTTTTGTATAGCCTGTGCTACACTGTATCTAGCATCAATTTTGTTTGCCTTGTTCATATTCCGTATGCACCAAAGAACAGTAATTTATCAAGTCCTAAAAAAACGTTTTCTTAGGACCTACATCTGTATGAGATTGATTCCTCACTTTTTTCTCTAAATTCAAACAATTTTATACACACCCCCATTGACTAATAGTTATTAGGATAATGCTAGAAATAATAACTTAAGAAATACAAAAACCTTTTTTCAGTCAACAGATTCGGTCACAACTAATCTTGGTTAATCTTACTAATACGGTTTCTTTCTTATCAACTGTTTGCTGTAATAAGACCTACAGTGTACATGTGCTTTTTTCAAGTTGAAAAAAATAATACTATTACTTAATTGAAACAGGATGTCAATGTTCACAGATTGTTAAGTTTAATGATGCTAGTGTCCTGTTTTATTTCTCTGGCAGTACTTTTTAAATTTTTTTTATGGTCCCCTCAGTGTCTGTATTAACAGAGTTTCACTGTTTGATTAAAAGTAATATATGTCAAACAGTCATACAGACTTCTTGTGAAAGTAGGACAGTATCATGGAAATTAACAACAAAAACAGACTGTGATGTACAAGAACTCAGATAGCTGTCAATACAGTGTAGATTATATATTTTGTACCCTAACCCTTATTCCTGAATTAATGGTGGAGGAAAATTGCCTGTCCGAGCAACAGTGCAAGTTACTTAATGATTGTTTGGTAAAGCAGCTAGAAGGCATGTTATTATATTTCGCTTAGTTTTGCCAATTACATGTACAGTACTTGTTATTATGAAACTTTGCCTTAGAGAAGAAATTGCCTCTAAGCAATATTAAATCAAGCTTTATGAAGAACAAACAAATATAATTATGTCTTTCCGGCATTCTTATTTATTTCAGTTATACCAGTGAAGACTATTCTGGTTTTTGTTAATTTGGCCTATCTGTTTCCAGATCTGTAGCTGTTGTTTCATGGAATGATCCTCAGCGTGCAAAGAAATTAGTGTCTGATAGGGCAGGGCTAGTGGATTTTGCCATCGGGCTAGTGATTTTTGTTCTTAACTTGCCCGACAGGCAAGTGCTATTTTTTGTTTTAAAAATTCAAATTACATAAGGATTGTAATCAATCCTGCTAATAGATAAGGGTTTTGGGGCTAGTTGAAATGACTTGTGGGCTATAGTACTGCTAGCTACAGCTTGCCTGAATGGCAGGCTGTAAAACTGACTTTCTTTGCACCCTGGATCCTTTAGTGTTGTACTAGGCAGTTATTACTATACCAACAACTTGTGACCTTTGTTTTTTACAAATGAATTTGGCTAATAGTTGTATTATAGTAGGAAAGAAAATAAACTATCTTTTCCTTTAGAAATCTTTATTAAACCTTTAGTTAGTGATTTCATTAGACAATTTTAGAATACACTTTTCTAGTAGTGTTTTAATTTTTAACAATCATATGTGAATATGGTAAGTTTTAAAGAAAATTCCCAAGACATACATGTACGTGGTTTAGACAACTCCAGATATAAGTGATGTCATTTTTAAGGGTTTTTCAGCTGGCTTTCAAGGGTGTTTTTGAAAACTTGCTTTTATTTTCAATTTTTGTTACAAAGATAATATGCTTCAATTTTTGTTTTATTTGTAATTAAAAACAGGTTAAAATACCATCAAAAAACAGGTTAAAACACCATTAAAAGCAGGTTAAAACACCTTTAAAAACAGATTAAAACATCATTAAAAACAGGCTAAAACACCATTGAAAAAAAGGGTTAGACAACATTTAAAGGCAGGTTAAAACACCATTCAAAACAGGTTAAAACACCATTTAAAGCAGGTTAAAACACCTTTAAAAACAGGTTAAAACACCATTAAAAACAGGTTAAAACACCTTTAAAAACAGGTTAAAACACTATTAAAAACAGATTAAAACACCATTAAAAATAGAATTTGATACCTGTTTTAAATGAAGTTCTCAAATACAATTAAAACAGTTTTAAAAATATATCAAAAATATGTTAAAAATAGTGTTTAGTTTGGTACCGGTTAATCATTGTATCTCATGTTTGTTATTTTTATATATATCTAATTTCATGAAGACGAGCACAGTTTATGCGGCAAGTTTATGTTTATGCGGCAAGTTTATTGGAGACAATGATCTAACCTCGCATCAGGTTTGATATAAGCTTACAGAACTTTAAAAAGCCTTTAGATATGTTAACTAGAAAGAGAAATAGACAAGGAAATACACAAACTCAAGTACTTTCTGGACGAAACGGACGAGCTAATTAAGCTAAGGGATTACACGGAAATGGATATTGCAACACACAAGCGGAGGAAATCGTGGGCAAGTTAACGTATCTATTTCGCAAGCAGAGGAATTAAAAATAGATCATGGTGTATCTCCTCGATCGATGAGACAATGGAAGAAGGACGTGAAAGCCAGGCATTCCACATTTCTTGTGGACAAAGAAAAGCTTGCGAAGTTCTTAAATAACAGACAAGAGGAAATAGACGAGGAAATGGAAAGAAAACGATTTGAAGCCAAACAAGAACAACAGCAAGAAGAGGAGAGCCGTTTAACTGAGTTGCACTTGCGACAAGAAGAGCACGAACGAGACAGGAGAAAATTGATGCATAATTACAGGCGACGCATAAACGGCTGAAACTGGAAAAAGAAGCCCGTTCAACCACAGCAAAACTGGCCAAATTGATAATAACACCGTTCAAAAGAACGCCTACCGACTGGGTTAGAGTCGAGAACGTGTTTATCACACAAGTCCACAACAAATCGATCAGCGCAGAAGAGAAATTCGGAAATGGTCAATCCAAACGTACGAGCAAAGATAAAAAACCTGAAGCCTGGTGAAATGGGCTACAAGAAAGACTGAAATCGGGGTATAGCCAGAGCAAACTTGCTTTGAACGCACACGTAGGAGAAAAAATGAACCTTCCTGTCATTAGAGGATCCAATTACTTAAAGATTCAGGAATTTTACGAGAGCTCGAGCAGAAATTTGTATGCTGACAATGGGCGAAGCCGACATGCTAAGGGGGCTCGTGGTGTCCACTCTTAACAAAATACCGCAAGTGAGGCCCGATATTGTGCGAACGAAAATTGGGAGAACTGGGATATGGAGGCCTTGATAAACAACCTTTAGCAGTGGTTGAAAAGAAACAAAGTAGATGATACACTCGAAGACAGTGGAGGTGTACGACGGAAAAAAGAGAAGCATTGGTATAATAAGGAAAAGGTAGACCCAGTCTGTATCTTTCGTACTGTATCGAAGTTGCGTGACTTCACAACCGTCCGAAGACCGGACAAAAACAAGTTTAAAGGAGCAGTACGAGCATACCAAAGACAACAGGTTCTACAAACAGATTGGAGACGAGTATCCTTTACACTTGAGTTTAGCACACAGTACCTATTGTCGAATAAGAACCGAAGAAGTATACAAGGGACAACCGGGAGAACGAATTGTGGAAGGAACGACCTTTGGCTGGGTAATCCATGGTGGAAACGACTCAGATAGCCAGAGCTTCTTCAGCAGAGATACAAGCGACTATGAGCGACTTTACAACCTGAACGTCAGGGACAGAGGTGAGGATGACGAGCTTGATGTCTACACAGAGTTCAAAGAAAACATAGTAAGGAATTCGAAGCACGACGGAGGGTACGAGGTAATCATTCCTTGGAAACCAGGGGCAAAACTAGATGGAACCAATAAAGAACAAAGCCGGAGACGCTAACAGATGATGGATATATAACTAAGACAAAGGGAATAGTTAAAGGCTGAGTACACACGTAATTGAAGAACAGCTAGAAGAAGGAATAGTCGAAAGAATCCCAAGCAAACCAACGCGGAAACGAGTATTCTATTTGCCACATAAGGCGCTGTCGTTCGAACAGAAGCTGTCACAACGAAAGTCAAAAAGGTATTTGATGCCAGTGCGAAACCTCATCCTACTGCATGGCCATCCCTATAACCCCTTCTGTGGGACATAATGATTAGAACAAGAATGTCTGAGAACCTCCTGATGGAAGTTATCAACAAAGCAGTCCTATGAATCGGAATAAAGGAGGAAGACAGCTAGGGACACTTTCCGTTTTTTTTTTTTTAATTTTTTTATTTTTTCACCCTACACGGAAAAGAGGAGAGTTTGCGAATATCAATATAAAACATCATTATAATACGCGATTGTCTGCAAAAGAATGTTTCTCTGTCAAATTCTCTAGAACTGAAAAAATAAAAAAAATCTTTTACTAGCATTGCTGAGTGTGTCTATTTGGAATTCTATTACACTTTCTGTTAAGACTCTCAACAGATCTATTTTTCGTAAAAAATTAAATCGCTACTCCTTAATGTTCTAGGTGATATGAAGATAATTATTAATAGAATATTTTATGAAGTAAACCAGATATGTTGTATATACCTCCAGTTGTAGTTTTTGTTTTTTCAAATAACAAAACCCCCTGTGCTTGAATTTGTATGTAACGTGTTTCTTTCTGTATGTCATTGTATTTCTTTCCTTTTCTTTTTTCTTATGTAATTTAATAACGTCTTTATTTAAACCCTTGCATCAGGAGCGCGGTCAAAAGCATGGCAAGCCCGGCCAGGCCAGGCTTGCCAGGAAAGCGTGGCCTGGAAAAGCCTGGTAAGCCCGGTCAAGGCCAGGGTTTTGAGGTAAGCGTGGCCATAGAAGCGTGGCTTTTCCGGCCACACTAAAAAATAGGCCAGTATTTCATGGCCTTCCCGACCAGAAAACCAGAAGCCGGCAAAGCGAAGAATTCGTGGCCATGTTCTACAAGTGACGGCAATAAGAACTAGAAACAATTTTGTTACAATATTTCTACCTATTTATTATTATGACAATTAGAAATGTATTTTTTTACAGGATCAATATCAAAAGTTCTTTAGGTAAATAGAAAATACAGAGTTTTAAAAAATTAGTGCAAGAAAGGGAAAAACATAGATCATAAGGCTACAACAAGTCCACTACTCTCTTTCCACAAAGTTTGGCACTCTGGCAAAACGAATATACTTCAAAGGAAAAAAAGTCAACCAAATTTATTTTCAAACAGATTTTAAATACTGTTTTCGGGGTATTTTTAAAAATTGATACCCGCAGTCACGGACTTGAAAAACAAAATGCAATAGACATGCAGATACAGTCTGCCAAAAGAAATAAGAACTCGTCGTTTAGACACAGCCCATTCTACAAAGGCACTATTCATATAGATAAGCCATCTCGACAGAAGTGTTTCGTCGTCAATCCAAAAGAAAATTGTTGAGAATTCTCAATTCTAGACACATCCGGTTTCTAATCATGCGCGTACTTAATAAGTAACCATGCAGTAAGTATAAACGCCACAAAATTATTAAGCCTAAGTCCACTAGAAAACAAGACATTGAGCTGTCATGCAGTTGGGAGCTAATGTATCTCCCAATAAAAACGAACAATCAGCCTTAAACTTCATTAGTCAAATAAAGCATCGAAATATGCATGCATTTTGAGCCCATCGACCGGTTTGATAACGCGCGTTGTGTCACAGTGTGTGACAGTGTGAAAGAGCTATCGATCCCCAGTCATTATAGACCGATTGCAAATATGGCGACGATCTCACCAAAGCGAGGCTTTTCGGTAGCAACCGTTGCTAAGGGCTGGTCGCTTGTTCATATGCTAATGCGAGTCCGTTATCTTGTTGTTTTTTCACTCTGGAAACAATAAAAAAACTTTCAAGAAGAAGTCATCGTCGGTTCGTTGTGTTAAAATAAAGGTCAGCGCTTTTTACTTTGCCTATATTATACAAATCGGAAGGTAGATGATAGGAAAAATATTGCGATGTACTTGTGTGTGAACTCATATATTACGTTTCCGACTTTGAACATGAACTTCTTGAAAATGTTTTAGACTCAGTTTCACTGTATGTTCTTTTTACCGAACAGTATTAAGTTCATAATGGATAGGCCTGTGGAAAAGATGCATGTGAAGGAATTAAAAGAAATTCTTTTTAGGAAGAAAGTGAGCCTTAAAGGATTAACAGTGAAGGGCCAACTTGTTGCAAAGTAAGCAGCGTTTTTAACCCTCTGCTTTATATGATTAAATACACTTGAAAACCGTATAATGCACCTTTGTCTTTTGTCTCATTATTATTATTTTTTTCTGTCTAAGTGATTGCAAGTTAAAAATTAGCGTCCCTTGTTGATTTTTTTGTGCAGAGTGAAGGAAGTACTTCAAATGTGTACAGATGATCGCGGGCAAAATGATCAAAATAATCAAGCGACCGCCGCTGCACTTCGTGCTCGAAGCAAAAAGAGCGACTCAGATCTTGTTAGGGAGAATGAGGAAAAGATTTCATTTTGTCCCTCTGAGAAGAATATGGATAAACTACTGGACGATCTTCCCCCATTCACGTATAATACCATTGTGAAATATGTCCGAAACTCCGGTAAAGCATTTTCAGCATTTTCAGCATTCCCCGGACTACATGGTAATGAAGCCGTTTGAAGGTAGTGTCAATTTTTACTGAAGGATACCTTCATAACGTCGGGGCCACGAATCACAAAGAGAGCAAAACCTTTTATTTCAGAGCCCTTTGCTACCGAAGTCTACGGAAAAGTGAACCACCACATAAAATATGATTAGCAATCTCAACCGAGCAACCTTACGATGTATCTTCGGGGTTTTGTACTCATGCCGTAGGTCTAATGTATCTAGTTTCCCACTATTTCATGACAAAAGCTAAAATGGTCCACGATGACCTACATGTGAACCTTAAATACAATGAATGAAAAATATCGGGCAGTCAAAGTATCGCGATCGCTGTACAAATGACTCTGTCTGTGATCGCTGTGCGTCAGTTGATCTTTCAAAAAAGAAAAAAAGGAAAAAGAAAACCAGTATCCAAATCGTGTATGCCAGATTGAAACCTTTTTCAGCGAAGAAAATTGACTTATTTTTGTCGAGTTTAAAGGAAAAGACGCCTGAGAAGCTGCAATCTTTGCAGCAACGGCACTGGTAAACAGAGGCAACCAGTCCCTAGCAACGGTTGCTACCGAAAAGCCTCGCTTTGGTGAAATCGTCGCCATATTTGCAACCGGTCTATTCATCGAATCTCTCTGTGTATATCTCTACACAGCCAGATTTTAAATCAATCATTGATCAGTTAATAAGTTTTGAAACTTTTAAAATTCGCGTCAACCATAACGTAACATTAAGATGCAGTGTCATCTAGATAGTAATCTAATCGATTTTGACACAGAACCCCAGTTACGGTGAACAAAGATAGATTATAACATAGCTAGAAAATTCGCCTAATCAAATTCAATAGCGCGAGCGTGCTTCATATTCCTATTGAGCACGCTGATGACGTCAATAAACTATTCGTAATTCCTCGAGTTGTTGTGAACTTAGCAATCCTGAGTCTCCTGAGTGCATCCATAACTCAGCAGTACACGATGAAGCGCTTACTATGTGTTTTATAAGGAAATTTAAGAGAAAACGTTCGAATTTGTTAACCGATAGTAAGGAAAAGAGGTGAGTGTTGTTGTTGTTGTCATCTCCGCGAGCTGTGCGGGCTATGGCGTGTGCAAATCATTCTTTGAAAAGTTGTTTTCTCTCAATAATAATTTTTCGATGAATTAATAGTTTTGCGGCACTTAAATATGGATTTTACAATCATTTTAGAGTACACTATCTCTCACTTTCAGGATAAAAACATAAGCTACATACATACATACATACATACATGCATTTATTTGATAAAGCAGGTTAAGTTACATAAAATGGCAGCGAAAGGCTGATGTGGACCTGCATCTAAAATAAGTTAAATAAAAAGTAAGATTATGTAAAATGTGAGAATAAAATCAAGTTCAAAATATACATAGTCATTGTGTTTGTTAGCTATCATAGGAGCTCTAAATGAGAAATTATTAATGTCCTTGGAAAATCTACGTAAAATTTGCTTGAATTTGTCTTTACTTATCGTCTCATTTATATTAATTAATCTTTTAAGAAATGTCCAAATTGTTGGTCCTTTTAGTGGAATCAAATTTTATTGTGTTAGGTCTTGCGA